GGGGGAGACATTTATTGTTGAAAGAAAGCTTTTCGAAAGAAAGTTTTTACAATTTAGTTTTTGAGAATCCGAACTGTTAATTGCCTAAAGGTTGTGGGTCTAAAAAATATCCATTAGCCTCACTAAGACAACATTGTGTTTTGTGGGGTTTTTTATGAACGCACAAGACAAGAGTTTTGTAAATGTTTTACGGCGTTCGTAACTGCTTGGGGTCACGTATGAGCGCGCGGGATATATTAAGCATTTTCAGTTTGGTATGAATTAATTTTGAATTTTGCCCAAGTGGCGGCCGAAGCCTACTCTTATCGATTTTAGGATTTGCACACGGGACCTCCAAGATTTGTTCACCCTTTTTCCAGAAGGCTTTCCGACGCTGTCAGGTTCTGAACCCGGGACTTATTGAATGAGAGGCGAACTCCATACCTCTAGACCACGAGACCCCCTCCCCCTGACGTTTTTATTGGTGGATTAATGTACATTCATTCTAAGAAACCAACGAAATCCAATACACTACATCGTCCTTGGCTTTTTTTTTTTTTTTTACTTTCCCAGAGCTCCGTCGTCTGAAAAAATATATCAGAGTTTGCGAAGGTTTTTCATTTCTTTGACAGGACAAATCCTCAATCGTCTAAATGAGGCACCGTCCGGAGACACCTTTCGTCTCTTGTCCAATTTCTGTGGATCTGACTGACCTTCCGCTCATTTGGACTTAACAGAGATTCTAACATAAGTGGATCTTGCAGGTCTGAACATTCAACTGCTCGACACAAGGCTTCCCTGCCAGGTAATTAGGAAACGTGGATATTTTCTGAGCGAGTCTTTGTCCTTCGGTGACTCCTGGGAGATTCGGAACAATCACTTAATGTACGTCGTGCAGAATCTGATTAACTACATCTGAACTACTGTAAGCTCTGGTCAGGTAAGGACATAATGACAGTACTTAACGATAGATTGCTGGGAATTGTTCCTCCATCCGGGAACATTCAAGGCAGAATAAAAACGATTTCATCAGTGTAGGTTTACGCAGCATAGATGAAATCCATGGGCGAGACAGATAGAACAAAATGACTCTCTATCCGTCTTGTATTTGTGCTTGACATCTTGCTTTCTGTTCTACGATCTGAATAGCAACTCGTGATCTACTAGGTCCAGTCTCCATTAAAGGTCATAAACAGATAAATGCAGCTGAAACATTACAGATTATCATGTAGGACGTGCATCTTAATCTCATAACACATCAAAAAGATTGTGGGAAACTACCATTATTTCTACACGAACAACACATGAGTTCCAGTTGACATATTGGGAACCAATACTTCAAGCTCAGATTGGGAAGTGGGACTTGAACTCTCGATGGGGGCTAGTTAGTCCAAGGATGAGGTGTTTATCCTTCATGTCTAGGTAACTAATGCAATCCGTGAGTTTCGTAGGCTTGGTCTGTGAAGAGCATTTGGATTTGTTGTCGAAGCTTTCATACAAATGAACCTAGGGAAGCTGACAAGGACTTTGTGCATGTTATTTGCGTACCTTGCAGACACACTAGCAACTGAGAGTTGGAGAAGAACAGCAGGTTACAGACAAACAGACAGACAGACAGACAGACAGACAGACAGATAGATGGATAGATAGATAGATAGATAGATAGATAGATAGATAGATAGATAGATAGATAGATAGATAGATAGATAA